CTATAACCCTAAATTAGTTTGATGCAGAAAATCAGAAATTAAAAAATTTATGCGTCTGAACTCTGAACTCAAAAAGTTCAAAACTTAAAAATATAAAAACTCAGAAAAAACCTCAGAGAGTAGTCGAGTACTGGGATGAGAATGAGATGAGATGAGACTTACAAAACTTACAAAAGTAGTGAAGTTAACCGGTGAAGATGAGATGAGACTCGAGCTCGACTGTCGACTGGTCGTAACTCGTAAGTCGTAACTCGTAGACTGATATCCTAAGCAGTCGATTCTCGTCTACACTCGCAGACTGATATCCTAGACTCGCAGTCGATTCTCGTCTTCTTCTTCTCGATGATATCCTTCCTAAGCAGTAAGCCCTAATGGCTAATGCCCTACTTTGATGAGAATGCCTAATTTGATTCTCGACTTGGGTCTTGGGTATTAACTGACTTGGGTAATTGATTGGGATTGGGCTTGGGAGTTGGGGGAACTGGGCTTGGGTGGGACGCCGGGACGGTATGGGACTATGGGGCATGGGCTATTAAATAGGTAATTGGGCTTAGAACTTAGATATAGTCATATATATTATATAGGTTCACCAAATTTTCGGTATTTCGGTTTACCAAAATTGTAAAATTATAACACCGAAAACCGAACCGAAATACCGAAATACCAAAAATCCAGTACCGAATTAGACCGAAATACCGAAATACCAAAAATCCAGTACCGAATTAGACCGAAATACCGAAAAAACCGAAACCGAAATACCAAATTAATTTGGTTCGGTTCGGAATTCGGTTTTTCGGATTTTATGCCCACCCCTAGTATGTATTAAGCCTTTTATTTCTATAATTTGAATAGAAGTAGTGTGGCCACTATAGACTCTAAAAAAAATTTAAAATATTTTTCTCAAATCTCAAAAGTTTTGAAAATTAACATTGGCGTCCAAGTAGAAGAATGTTGGAATTTGGACTTGCGTTAATTGGTTATAGCTTGAAAGGATAGTGGCGTGACCCAAGTGGTAGATAAAAAAGGCCTAATATTAAATATTATATGTGTGGATAAGTGAGACCCAATAACAATTGACCTGTAATGGTAGACACTCTTTATAAATAGAGGTCAATCCCCCTTTTCCTAGCTATTAGAAAAAACTAGCGTATTCTGTCTCTTGAATACGTAGTAAAGGTAGACGTCCCATCGATCAAGTTCTCAGGGCTGTGAGAGCGGGTAGCTAGTGGATCCTGGAAGTTGGTCTCAGGTTTAATCGTCGTTTGTTGTTGTTGCTGAATCGATGGAGTTTAACTGTGCGCTTCTTTAAACTCTAACTCTAGATTGATTGTGTAATTGTGCATTAATCTCTGCTATGACTACAAATTGATTATCTTAAAGTTGGTATCAAAGTCACCATAGTTAGGGATTAAGATCAATGAAATTAATCTTGAATTTCAAAATATATGTAGTATTGCTTTCAACTTTCGAACAGCAGTACAACACAACGAAATTTGGTTCACTATGTCGTTGTTTTAGTTGAACTTCTCATCGATAGGTAGAGATGTATCCACTATTTTTGCAAAATGGCTTTTAATCTAATATAATTGAAATTAGAGTATTAGAACCATCAATAAGTGAAAAGGGGTTAGGAAGAGATAAATAGGTGGCGGCGGCAAAAGTGGGTTTAACCACCATATTGACAAAACAAGAGAATCTTTTTTTTCCCTTGGTTAATTATTGGATGAAACCAATAAGATAACATTAAAATTGAGAGGGATTCTGGTGTATGTTTTGAAATTGGTCAATTCAATTTGAAAGAATTATTTAAAGTCCAAAGGGATTTTTGTTAACAGTTGCCGAAAAGCAGCATACTAATTTCTCTATAACAGCCCAGCCCGCTAGTGATATTGTCCGCTCTAGGCCTAGGTCCTCACAGGTTTAAAACGCGTCACTAGAGTCTAAGGCCTGTTAACTTATATACCCAGCATCCCTTTTGTGTTTTACCGATGTGGGACTCTGTCTATAGTCTGGGGTGTTACATACACCCCCTCTTATGGACTCAGCGTCCTCGTTGAAGTTTGCCCTACCGCATGAGATTCGCCTAGACTCAGCATTGAGGTTTGCCTCGCCTAACCGGAATTTGCCTAAACTCAGTTGAACTCTGATCTGACCCACCATCGGCAAGGCTGACACAAGGGTGGCTCTGATACCATCTGTAATAGCCCAGCCCGCTAGTGATATTATCCTCTCTGAGCCTAGGCCCTCACGGGTTTAAAACACATCACTAGGGTCTAAGGCTTGTTACCTTATATACCTAGCATCCCTCTTGTGGTTTGTCGATGTGGGACTCTGTCTATAATCTAGAGTGTTACAGTAATAGATTGTATAAACTCTTTCAAACTCTTAGACTTATGTTAGATGCTCATGACCGGTGACACCCTGATGTTGGGCTGTGTTAGTTTCTGCAAATTGTATTATTCACTTTTATTTTGGGATTATTATCATGTTAATGACTTAAATTGTGTTATTATAATTGTTAAAAATAAATTGAGAGTTGTGTCGGCTAACCTTGTCTTCACGAGAGGCGCCATCACGATCGGGTCCGAATTTAGGGTCGTGACAATTACAGAACTAGAAACAGAAAATAAGATAGAATGGAGAAACACTGGGCTGCGAATGCTAGGTAGCTACCTAGTGGATTCCGAATGGCCTGCTGGGAGAAATCAACCCTCACTGGCGGGACTTGAAGCTCCTAAATCTGCACACAGGGTGCAGGGAGTAAAGTAAGTACTCCAACTCAGTGAGTAATAATAGCGATAAGAAATCACATAAAAATACAACAACATCTATAAGGAGGCATAGTAAAACCAATAAAGTGCAATAAAACAGTGAAATCTCATAAAACATCTTAGTTCAGTATAAGCTTCTTTAAAACACCTTTTTAACAGTTAAACAAGTAAATAAAAGGTAGCTAGAAGAGATAAACACATAAAATCCGCCCCTCAGGCACAATGTCAACAGAATCAGCCCCTCGGGTAATAACATAGAACAACACTAGCCCCTCGGGCTATATCTCATATCACAATAGGTACCCACGCTCACTAGGGGTGTACAGACTCCGGGAGGGGCCCCTTACGGCATAAGAATAATATCAAGCCATCTCGTGGCATAATCAATAGGCTTTCGGCCTCATATCAAGCCACCTTGTGGCGTAAAACTCAGGCCCTTGGCCTCATAATCATGAATTAGTGTGTCACTGCTACGGCGTGCAACCCGATCCAAAAGTATCCTCACAACACAGGCCTTCAGCCCTACTTAGTCAGAAATTTCTAAAAGCCACCCGGACATAGTAAAATATGATGCTCTGCCCAAAATATCATTTAAAGTGTTAAAACAGAGTAAACATGGTTGAGTTATGAAAAACAATATATAATAGCATGACTGAGTGCAGATAAAAAGTCAAAAAAGTTTGAAAATATCAGTAAAATCCCCTAAGGGTCCAAACAGTTGGCACGAGGCCCAAATATGGCATTCAATCCAAAATATGATGGTAGCAAACAGTTTTCAATCAAATAAGCAGTAAAACAATCATTCGGGACGGACTAAGTCACAATCCCCAACGGTGCACGACCCCACACCCGTCATCTAACATGTGCGTCACCTCAAAGTAGCACAATGATGTGAAGTCCGGGGTTTCATACCCTCAGGACAACATTTACAATCATTACTCACCTCTATCCGGTCCAAACTTTAGCTCGTGACGCCTTTGCCCCTTGAATCGGCCTCAACTCGCATCAAATCTATCCAAAATCAGAATCACGACGTCAAAATATGCTAAGGGAACGAAGCCCATGCGAAAATAATTAATTTACAACATAAATCCTGAAATTAACCAAAACCCGACCCCCAGACCCACGTCTCGGAATTCGATAAAATTTATATCAATAGATTCCTTATCTCCCCACGAGTTCATACATATCAAAAGTCCCAAAATCTTACAACAAATGGCCCCTCAAATCCTCAAGTCAAGGTCTCCAATATCAAGCCCTAATCC